TGGGAAGTGGGGGGAAGCCAAAGACCCAGAAAGTATGGGAAAATATGGGGGATCTTTTTATTTGTGTGTATTTATTTGTGTGTCTCCGGGCCCCTTCAAACACGCTTGGGGTTCAGGACGTCCGGGATCCGCCACATGTGAGGCTGCCGCCCGCGCGTGGGCGCCCGCGTCTGCGCGCGGCGCGCCGCGTGCAGCAAAGCTGGCCCGCGGCGGGCCTCCGCCCAAGGGGCGCCATGCCGCGTTCAAGGCTGAGCGGTGCACGCTTTTCGATTCGCGGGTCGAGAGCGCACCTCTTCCGGTCGAAGCTAAGCGGGCCGTGCGAAGCTTGAATTAACGAGGGGGGCAAAGCTGAGCGGTACACGCGGTGCCAGAATCGGCGGCGAGCGAGAGGGGGAACTGGGAAGGGGCGGGCCTTCTCAGAGAGCTCGGAAGGCCCCCGGCCTTCTCTGAGAAGTTTCCTGGGCTTCCCCGGAGAGTCAGGCAACTTCTCAGGAGGCGCGAGCGTTTCTGAGAAGTCCCGCCGCCTTCTGAGAAGGTCTTCTTCTTCACACTTACACAAAGTGAATACTATTCACCTCTCTCCCCTGATGACGTCCGGAAGATATCCGGCCCCCCTACGCGTATTGTTTTTTATACAGGATTCCCGGGCAATGAGTTTTCGCTTGGGTTTGTTTCAAAATGTTGCTCCCGCTGAAGCGCTGGCCCCATTTCCCGCCTCTGGTTGTTCCAAGTCGTGCTCCCGCTGCAGCGCGGGCGTTTTCGGCCTTTTCAAAATAGGCCCCAAAATCTAGGGGATGCCTTCCCGAAAAAACCATCTGAAGTGATTCCACAGTCGGTGCCGATTCGTTGAACTTTTGGGCCGCAGAACCCCCCCCACTTTGGGACGCCGTCGTTTTCAGGAAGTATCAAGCGGGAACCCCGTTTCTGCTTTGAGAAGGCGATGTTGAAAGCAGAGCCAGCGGGTGCTCTCCATCAGCCCCGCCGTGTGTGGAGCTCTTCGGGGAGCCTAGCTCTTCGGGGAGCCTAAGGAGCTAGACATGGAGCCACAATTCCAGACCGACCTAAACCTGTTGAAGACGATCCGCTTGCCCTCCAAGGAACCCCGCGCCATGCTATGACATGCTGTGCGGTGTCGTGTTCTGCGCCGCTGTGCGATGCCATGTGTTGCGTTGCAATGCTTTGCGATGCAATGCTTCACTGCGCAATGCCGCGCCATGCTGTGGCATGCTACGCTTTGCCGTGCTCTTCTACGCCATGCCATGCCGTGCTCGACCATGCATCGCGTACCCTCTCGCGATCACTGCCCTGCCCGACAGCCCACTGTGCGAATAGAGAGGATATCTTCGCCATGGTAAAAAGGGGTGGGAGGGAGTAGGACGCCAGATATGACGCGAGCGCACCTGGCTTGTCACTTCCCCTTCCTCTTCCTGCTCCTTCTCCTCCTCCTCCTCCTCCTCCTCCTCCTCCTCCTCCTCCTCCTCCTCCTCCTCCTCCCCCTCCTCCTCCTCCTCCTCCTCCTCCTCCTCCTCCTCCCCCTCCTCCTCCCCCTCCCCCTCCTCCTCCTCCCCCTCGCTCGCCGCCGACAGAAACCCCCGCGCGCGAGGGCCCTCGTCTCCGCGCCGTGTGCCGGACGGCGCCGAGCGAGCCTGCGTCGGGCCTCTCCGCTTGCGGGGGGCGCCGCGCCCTCTCCCGCAGGGCTTCCGGGGGGGCCATCGGGGTATATATATATATATATATATATAGGATTTAGGGGTATATCTATATCTATATTCTTATATATATATATATATATATTATATTATATATATATATATCATATGCACGGGGCTCCCGCGGAAGGGTGTCTTTGGGCCACTTCGGGGACCGTTTTCTTCGTGTGGAGTTCGCTGTGCAGTTCGTTCTGCAGCCAGGGGCGATGCGAAGGCACATCGAGGGAGCCTCTTCCTGCTCCTCCTCCTCTTCCTCCTCCTCCTCTTCCTCTTCCTCCTCCTCCTCCTCCTCCTCCTCCTCCTCCCCGTTCTTCCTCCTCCTCCTCCGGCTCCTCCTCCGAGGGAAAGCGAAAGCACAGCGAGAACGAAACGCATGGTTCAGCTTGAGCCTGGGCGTGCGCCCTGGCCAGGATCTCGAGAGGGGAGCCCAGCCGTGGCGGCGAGGATCGGGGGGAGGGCCTGTCGAGACCACGGCGCCCACCCTGGCGTGCTCCCCTCCTCTGGGCTTCCGGGAGGCTTCTCGTCGCCAAGGCCGGATCCGCCCCGGAAGCGCGCCAGGATGGAGGCCGGGAGGGGTCTGGGAGGGGGGCGGCAGCGAGAGGTGATGCCGATTTTCCACCACCGCTACCACAGGTAGTAGGAGGAGGAGGGGGAGGAGGAGGAGGGGCAGGAGAAGGAGGAGGAGGAGGTTGAGGTGGAGGAGGAGGAGGAGGACCAGTGTAAACCCAAGAGTCATCAACGATGTTGGAATAAACTCTCCCTCCAAGCTCCCTCTTCATAGGCCCCTACAACGGTTCATTTCCACTGGTGGAACTGCCTCGTTGGAAGACAACTTTTGAAGACCCTGAAGCATGCCAAAATATTGTTCTCGGGATTCCAACGCCACGGGTCAACCTCACCGTTGCGTCTTGTCTTGGCGATCCTGAATCGTGCCAGACCGCGAACCAACGTAATTGTTGCACCCTCATAATCCTGAATCCCCCCAACACTATTTCTGGTACGCTGATCATGGGAATCCGTGAAACCTTGCGAGAAAAAACGATTGTGCGCGGCGCTAAGGCGAGAGCCACATGTTGAAAAGAAACTCCTCCCAATCCGTGAAACTCTTGCAATTTTGTTAACGAATGTGCGCGACGCTGAGGCGAGAACCACATTTTGAAAACGACCCGCCCTCCATTTGTGAAGCTCTCGCAAGTGTGTTAACATGAATGTGCGCGGCGCTAAGGCGAGAGCCACATTTTGAAAACGACAGGCCCTCCATCTGTGAAGCTGCTGCCAACGTTTGAGCTCAAGGGTCGTACATGGTGAGGAAGTCTCAGGCGAAACGCCCTGCCCGCCCTGAAAACCGGCCGCAGGGTGCGACAGGGAGAAGTTATGTCTAAGGGGAAGAGATGGAGGATGAGGATGAGGAGGAGGAAGAGGAGGAGGAGGAGGAGGAGGAGGAGGACGAGACTTGGCTTGGCTCGGCTTGGATTGCCTTGGATTCGCTTGGCTTGCAGATCTTGAGGGGATGTGGGCGGGGCGGGGGAGCTGCCGTTGTCTCGACTGGCCCCCGGAGGGGAGCCCCCCGGGTAGCCCCAGAACGCGGGCAGAGCCAGCAGCAGCAGCGTTGAGCCTGGATCCTCGAGCCTCGGATCTACACGTCCGACGATGTTTGTGTTGAACATTATTACTTCTAAAGAAATATTATTGTTGAGACCCCTGGTGCGCGACCCCCCTCCAAAACCTAGGCCGCAGCCTCATTTCCTTCATTTTCTAGCGAAAGCTTCAGAAAAGTGGATTGTGTCCGGATCCGGTTGTTTTGTTGTAATCCGTTTTCCCTTGCAAAAAACACTATAAAATGACATTTCTTGTTCTAATATAATCAAATTTCAAGAATCCCTTGCAAAAAATAAGGTAAAGTGGACATTCGCGCGCGCAAGACGAAATCCTTCCAAAAGCTTAGTGTTCGGAAAAAAAAACATCAAAAAACCAATGGTTTTTCAACAAAAAAATGTCAAAATCTCATCCCGCGCGCTCTTGCGGATTCGTAGGAAAACCAACACTTTTTAAACATTTCTGTCAAACGGGCTTTTGCGAGCAACTTTTTCGAACTTCTGCGACAACGGTTGCGCACCTGCCAGGGCCATCATCCCTGTCAAATAATACCATGCGGGACACATTCGTCTCTCTGTATTATGTATTGTATGGCACAATTGCACCATGCTGGGCACATGCGCGCCCCGAATAAGTGACCAAGTTCTGTGGGTGTGTACCCCACGCCAGTGTAGTAGCCACGGTCGTCCGCACGCCACGAAGTGAAGTGTCCCAACGTCATAGGGCGGGAAGCTGGGTTTGGGTGGTCGCGAAGAGTCGTTTGGATATTTGGTAGAGCTTGTAATGCCCCCCCACGAAGTGGGGGTATTGCCTGGTGTCGTATGAAAACCCTGGCACTGGGGAGAACACCACGCGTTCGGGTAAAATGATTGTTGTTGTTGTTGTTGTTGTTGTTGTTGTTGTTGTTGTTGTTGTTGAATATTATTACTTCTAAAGAAATATTATTGTTGAGACCCCTGGTGCGCGACCCCCCTCCAAAACCTAGGCCGCAGCCTCATTTCCTTCATTTTCTAGCGAAAGCTTCAGAAAAGTGGATTGTGTCCGGAAAATTCTTGTTCTTACTTGATCAAATTGCAAGAATCCCTTGCAAAAAATAAGGTAAAGTGGACATTCGTGCGCGCAAGACGAAATCCTTCCAAAACCTTAGGTTTCGTAACGATTTTAACATAAAAACATCAAAAACCCAATGGTTTTTTAAGAAAAAATTGTCAAAATGTTCCTTCCGCGCGCTCTTGCGGATTCGTAGGAAAACCAACACTTTTTAAACAATTCTGTCAAACGGGCTTTTGCGAGCAACTTTTTCGAACTTCTGCGACAACGGTTGCGCACCTGCCAGGGCCATCATCCCTGT